CTGACACCCAGGCACTTTACCCAGGCTGACAGAATGAAACTATCTCAAAAAAAATAAAAATTATATGGTACATCTTTCGGAGAGCTAATAATTTGGTGGAATTAGCGGAATAATTTGGTGGAATTTACGGAAGAAAAACAAGCAAATGGGGGAGTGGCACAGAAGTCTGCAGTATAGGGGTCTTCAACCTTGCAAAGAAAAGAAAGAAGCACAAATCAAACATAAAGGATATACAGTCACTCATTCCTGAAAATAGAAAACAGTTTAATTAAATCCTCTATTAATTATTTGGAATAACTGGAAAAAGTAATTATTCATAACAGAAAGACTTTATAGAAAGTTGTGTGGTTTTTGTTTGTTTTGAGAGAAGAGTCACTTTGTTGACCCAGATTAGAGTGTCCTGGCATCATAGCTCACAGCAACCTCAGACTCCTGGGCTCAAGGGATCCTCTTGGCTTAGCCTCTGGGAATAGCTGGAACTACAGGGGTGCGTCTGGTTAATTTTTCTGTTTTTAGTAGAGACCGGGGTCTCACTCTTGCTGAGGCTGGTCTCTTAACTCCTGAGCTCAAGGGATCCTCCCAGTCTGGCCTCCCAGAGTACTAGGATTATAGGCCTGGCCCATTTTTTTTTTTTTAATAATCTCTGACAAGTTTTATTAAAGAAAAACTTTGCATGGTTTACTTCTCCCCAGTCTGTTCTGACATGCTTCTAATGATTGTTGTAAGAATCAGCTGGATCAGTGATAACCAGTGTGCATACTCTATAGTATTATCCGAGTCCTAAGTCCAGTTCCATTATGTTGCCACTGTAGTGATGGACACCAGTTTTGGCCAAGTGGCATAGTATTTTATTTAAAATTATCTCAAAGCTGGGCAGTTGTTGGCATTTTCACTTTGCCTTGTCTGATCATCTTCAGAGTCTGCTTGTACCCTAGCACATACTTTGCAATTTTCATAACAAGTTGGAGGCTTGAGTTGATGTCCTTTAGCGACTTTGTCAGCTTGTACCCCAGCACATACTTTGCAGGATAAGAAGATCATTTGAGCCCAGGAGTTTGAGGTTGCTGTGAGCTATGACACCATTGCACTCTATCCAGGGTGACAGAGTAAAACTCTGCCTAAAAAAAAATAAAAACAGAAAGAAAAAAGAAAAGAAAGGTAGATAACTGTTGGTGAGGTGTGGAGAAATAAGAACCCTCATACACTGCTGGCAGAAATATAAAACGTTCCTGTTACTTGGGAAAACAGGCTTCCTGAACCTCTTAATACTGTCCATACATGCTTGCCTTTCTGTGTACAGTGCCTTTCAGCTTGTAACTTAATTAGTAGTAAATACAACTTTATTCTTTGGGAGATAAGATAATTGATTCACAGAGAAACCCACACATGTGTTCAGGAGCCATCATTGAGGACAGTGAATAAGAACGATGGTACTACTGAACTTGGTGGGGGCAGTGATACTATTTACTGTAAAGGGAAATATAGATAGGCAGAAAGCAAATTGGGGATTAGGAAGAGATCACGAACTCACTCTCCAACCTGTTAAGTCTTTTGGGACTGTGGAAGTGAAAGAGCCATTTAGGAGCTTGACACTCACTAGGGATGCTAGGGGTTGAGGTGCACCTGTACTGATGGATGACATAGTGTTAAGTATGAAAAGATGATTGGCTCAGTACCTGTAGCTCAGGCGTCTAAGGCGCCAGCCACATACACCATAGCTGGCAGGTTCGAATCCAGCTCCGGCCTGCCAAATAATAAAGACAACTACAATCAAAAAATAGCCGGGCATTGTGGCAGGCGCCTGTAGTCCCAGCTACTTGGGAGGTTGTGGCAAGAGAATCGCTTAAGCCCAAGAGTTGGAGGTTGCTGTGAGCTGTGACACCACAGCACTCTACCCAGGGCTACAGCTTGAGGCTCTGTCTCAAAAAAAAAAAAAAAAATGATGATGATCTAGGATACAACTACACAACTCCTGGGAAACACACACATAGTGTATGACTCAGGAGAAATGAACAAAGGACTAATTTGGCAAGTAAGAAGACGACCAAGAGAAAGATATTATAGAAGCCAGAGGGGAGTGAAACTTCATGGTGTGTGCCACATGCTGCAGGATAAAGGCTAAAAAGAGGCCACTGACTATGGCAAGTAGGTCAACATTAGGTATGTCAGCAAGAACATTTTGGGAGAAAGGTGAGGATGGAGGAGTGGGTTGAGGAATATTGAGAAATGAAGACATACTTGTGGACCATTCTTTAGAATATTTCTATTTCTTTTGCATTAGAGGTGGAGCAAATGGAAAATGAAAATACAGGCTGGGCACCTGTGGCTCAAGTGGCTACAAAGTCCCAGCTATTCAGGAGGCTGAGGCAAGAGAATCACCCAAGCCCAGGAGTTGGAGGTTGCTGTGAGCTGTGTGACACCATGGCACTCTACCAAGGGCGATAAAGTGAGACTCTGTCTCTACGAAAAAAAAAAAGAAAGAAAAAATACAAACGAAAAATGTGGGCATGTTTATAAGCTGAGATAAAGAGAGGGAGATACTAACATATGTGGGAATACAGGTCTGCAGAGTCCCTGGAAAAAGATGAGATAACTGCCAGGTGGAACAGGTTTGTCTTGAAAAGGCTCAGGGACACATGTTTGTCCAAGACAAGAGGGGAGATAATTAGTAAAAGCAGGTACTCATGGACTGGATGGGAGAAAAGTTAAGGTATTCATGGCTGGTAACATCTCTTCTCTATGGGCTAGAGAACTGTGCTGTCTAGTGTGGGAAACGGGAAGGAAGTGGGAAGGGATGTTGAGAGAAAGCTGGAGGCCTTCTTTTATAGGTAAGGCTTGGTGTGGCAGATTGATGATAACCCAGGGTGGGCCATCCTCCTAACCTAGTTTTGATCATGAAACAACTGTTAAGAAGCAAGCACAGACACAAACATATGTATGTAATTTTCTTTTTTCTCTTTTCAGAAATGAGCAAAAACTGGCAGAGTAGGAGAAGACATGGGAGAAGATTCCTACAGAATCCTTGGTTCAGGCTCCATGATTCTAATGAGAGGCAAGTATGCCAAGGCTGGGGCACCAGCTTGTCCCTGATACTGCTGTGGCACTGTCCAGCATGGCACATCTCACACACTC